GATGGCTACTGCTGTGGCCCCCAGCTGCCCCCGGAACCATGACCAATGAAACGCCACAGAAATTAGTGTTAAATAAATATTGGTCGCCGGTTCGTTAGAATGATTTTAATATCGACTGCATTAACTTTGTAAACTGGAGTTACCGATAGCCCCCAATGAATTATCAACGTAGTCGCTTCGTTTGCAGGAATRCGATTTAGCTTATTCTTAGTTATTTTATGAAACACGAATTAACTTATTTGTTTTGAAATTCCTTAGAACATGGAGTCTTTAGAGGCAGGTACTGTAACTGCCTGTGCATTGGCACTGGTGATCCTCTTACTATTTATTTTCATGACTTGGTTAAAATGGCGCAAAAACATCYCAAGGACAATGGCCAATGGAACCGACGGTGTTAATGAGGACTTAACAAGGCAAGACATTCCTGGTCCAGCAACCCGTGGCCCTGGTAACCAGAACTTGGCTGCCAACCTTAAATCGATTGAAGATATGACCGGGTCGCGTTCTCTTTTGAACGATAAAACAGAAAAGCAGTTCTACCCCGGAGACGATGAAACGAAAAGCAATCGCGAAAACGATGTTGAACATAATTCATCTACCAGCAAAAATACCCGACAAACGACTTACTTGTAGAAGATGAACTCCTGATTCGAATGAACAATTTTATCTCAATTTCATATCATTTTTTAGTAAATGCAGCAAATATTTTAYAGATATTTTTCTAATGGTTGAAAGAACTTTGATTTGATTTTAATTCACCTAAACGATTTTTTACAGACGTTTGGAATAGTTATTATCACACCCGTTCATCATTAGCTAATATTCTTATATTTAAGAAACTATCCACCTATTTCAAAATACATCGTCGGTCTGAGATATGGAATCTGAGACCGAGTGGAATTGTGGGACTAAGTGTTTTCTCGTTAAAAAATCAAAATACATTTATCCAGACAACTCGTTCGCGCCGATCATCGCTCAAAGAAGGTATATTTTTATATAACTGGTTGCGAACTACTAATTAGATTAACAAAACGATCGATTACCAGCTTACAAGCAGTCTGGTAATTAAGAAGACCAACAATTAACAAACAACAAACCAMAATAAACCGAGCAATCAATAAAAACTCCCATTAAAAACAATTTTWAACAACAATTAGTGTCAATTGAGTAGAGACAACAGATTTTAGGATTTGATAGTCGATGCGATTATTGTAAATAGCCATCTTAATCTTGTATAAATAAGATAGTGATAGTATTTAGTCACAGTAGCTATATATGAAATAAAGTTTGAATTACATTTCTAGCAGATAAACTAAAAGATTTGTGACAACCACTGCGCGTTCAATCCGCCACTATCTTGTTAGGCTTGGTACCACTAGCGATATACTGTTATCTTAAGGATCATAATCATGATCATAACTTGCCTTAAAGACCGAAACAATCATAATCATAAGATAATGCCCTTCTATTTTCTATGTTTATGATTATGTCGGGGTTTTAGGCAAGTTATTTTTCTGTTTCAGTGCAATCCCACTACGAAGTAAGCGAGATAACACTATCCGCGATTATAATTATGTTTTATCAGTAAGGCGCTAGTGGGTAACAAGCCTTATCGCGTTTGAATCCTATACGAGGCATTCTCCGGCTTTTATTCTCCAATTATGCAAACTGATGGAGAGGGGGGTCAGATTGCTTGTATATAAGCTGTAAAAGCAAATCTATCGGTATATACTCCAAATTTAAAAACATAGATTCATCGGGTATTAAAAACCCGACTACACTATGTTTGACACATATGCTCATCAAAACTCTCGTTTCTCGTTGCTGAAAAAGAGGAACGTGTGTTCTGGTTGCGAGATTGGTCCAGGTGGGCTTCCTGTGGATAATAAAAAAATGGCGGACGTCGCAGTTGTTGGAGCAGGAATCATAGGAGTAACAACAGCGTTATCGATCCTTGAAGCAGATCCTTCCATCAAACTGACKGTAATAACGGAAAAGTTTAGTCCAAACACGACTTCTGATGGCGCTGCAGGGATCATCATGCCTTTTGTGATGGGAWACACGCCAATGAGTTTGCAAAGGTAAAGTTGCATAATTTATGGAGGWCATCATATCTCTTTGATCACCTTGAATACAAAAGTATCTAACTTGGGCTCCCTGTGATATTTGTTTTACAAATTAAAAWTGGGATACGGATTATTTTCAAAATGGAATATTCAGACCCTCTAACATTGCCTCTTCAATTTAAARCCTCTTTGGATGAGSTTTYGATATCGTAAATCATCAAGACSAAGGCTGTGTTATCTGCTGAAGCCATAGGTTGTTTTAAAAATATTATGTACATTTTGTAAACTAAGAATAAAGATTTAATTTCGCTTTCAAAAAAGTAGCAAACCTTTTTCCCATTTCTGCTGTGAGTTTGGGTGAACTTGACATGATAAATGTATTATCTGCAGGAATATGTTCAGATGCTATATTTACCTTGTCAAGTTCACACGATATAAGAGATTAGCTTAGGGCTATCGGMCAATGAAAAGCAACATAGTGGGTAAAATTTATGATGATATGAATTATTACAAGGGGCTATCCACCCCACTCTTGCCTAAATYTCTTGGTATCCTCAGTCACCCCCCTTTTTCCTTGCATCCCTGGTAAAACCTTTGTTATAGTCACCCCTATTCTAAAATCCTGGATCTGCCACTGAATATGTATTGTTAGGTTATTACATTGTATGTTATTATTGAACTGTAGGAAATGGTTTGGAGCCACTATGAAGAAATATGAAACACTTCTTCATTCAGACATGGCTGAAGAACTTGGGATCTTTCTGTTGTCAGGATTCGAGGTTCATGGAGATTCTATTGCTGAGGTGTGTAGTGCACTAAGAAAATGGTTGAACAGGATCAACTGTTTCGTACAATATATTGTACAGAGACAGCAAAGCACTTGTTAAAGTGGGGGAGCTAATCTTTGTTTTTCT